TGATTCAAAAATACATCTTGCAAGGATCCAAAAAAACATGACTCATATAGGACTAACACCACAGTCACTGTCTCCAATAACTTGATAGGTTTAAAATCACTTGTGACTTTAACTTATAGACTGGAACTCATTGCTTCTCCTTAGGAGCTATTACAAATTTACACTTAAATGAACTCCGCTTTAAATAACCTCTTCAGAGTTTTATCCCAATGCTCCTGGTCTGGGAGTCACATTAAGTCTTTAGGGTATTCTAGTTTCATAACATTCTTAACTTCTCACAAACAGTAGTATCGACTAGCACCTTCATCGAAAGACTTCACAAGACTGGTGAAAACACGAAGTAAAACTGAAAAACAAAAATCTCTAAACTACAGGTATTTCCCTTAAAATTAAAAAAGAACTGACCTTCTAAACTGGAGATTGTTCATCTTGTTCGGATGTAAAACCCTACCAGTGTACAAAAAACCCATTATTTTGAAAGATAGGCCTCAAAAACTGTTTTAAAAGAAATCACCACAGCTGCAGAAATAATGACAAGGCAATTAATAACTTTAGAAAACCCATACATTATGAACTCAAAAACCAAAGTCCCAAACTTTAAAGAAACGATATAAATAGACAATGCCAGCCATTTCCAATCTGACTGGATTTTTCCTACACTTACTAACTCCATGATAAGAATCAACATCCCATAGCTTGTCAGTGAACACCCTCAGATACACAGAAATACAGTCCGTCTCTGACAGCACCTCATATTCTGCCTTGGAACCCTACAACCCAATGGTCTCAATATGGGCTTTATTAGCTTCAAAATCTCCCCACCCTCGACCTCATCCCCAGACCAGCACCCCCTCTCATTCCCACCTCACTGACCAATCCAACTTCCTATCTACGCTCAACCTTTACTAGCTTCATCCCCGCCTCCTTGACCTGTCTGTCTTCTCTCCCACCTATCCGCTCCACTATTTACCTTCTATCACCGCCCCCCGTCTCTATTTATTTCAGAGTTCCCTTCCCCCTGCCCCATTTCTGAAGAAGGGCCCCGACCCGAAACGTCAGCTTTCCTGCTCTTCTGATGCTGCCTGGCCTGCTGTGTTCATCCAGCTCTAGGCCTTGTTATTTCGGACTCCAGCATCAGCAGTTCCTACTATCTCTGTCTCTGACAACTGTTGATTTCGAGTTACTTTGATGACATTGTGGCAACTTTAAGGAAATTCCAGCCCCTTGTTACCAGACAAACAGAAATAATTGGCAGAAATAAAATGGCAAAGTGTAAAACTATTTCCAACTGTAGTAAGCCATATGCATTAACAGTTGAATAGGAAATCTTCTAGCTAAACTTATTCAGCGCTAATCAAATTAGACACTTCGTGCTTTAGATTTTTGGGGGGCATAAAATAAGGAAAGAAAGCCAGGTCTGCATTTGCTTCCAAAGTCTATCACTGTTGGAAATATGATTAATGTTCACATTTTCACAACAGTGTACCTCTAACTGATATGGCAACAGTCTTCTGTCTACTGAAAGCTAGTGGAGGCAGTTCAGATGAAGAGTGTGACTCAACTAACACTGCAGGCATCCAAAAAGAGGCTGCTAAATGGCCTGAGGAAGAGCAAAATCAATAAGTCATGGTCACATGGACAAATGGAAGAAAACTGGAGAAGGCAAACCAGGGCAGGATCTATACAATTAATGGCAGGGCACTAGAGAGTGTTGCCAAACAAAAAGACCTAGAAATTCAGGTGTATATTTCCTTGGAGGTGGAGTCGCAGGTAGACAGGATGGTGAAGACTGCCTTTGCCTTTATTGATCACAGCATTGAGTATAGGAGTCAGGATGACATGTTGCAGCTGTACAGGACACTGCTGAGATCTTTTTTAGAATGCTGCGTTCAATTCTGGTCACCCTTCTGTGGGAAGGATGTTGTTAAACTTGACAGGGTGCAAACAGATTTACAAAGGATGTTGCCACGACTGGAGAATTTGAGCTATAGGGAAGAGGCTGAATAGGCTGGGGCCTTTTCTTCCCTGGGGCATTGGAGGCTGAGGGATGACCTTATAGAGGTTTATAAAAATCATGAGGGATATGGATAGCATGAATAGCCATGGTCATTTTCCCCAGGATAGGGGAGTACAAAATTAGAGGGCATAGGTTTAAGGGGAGAGGAGAAAGATTTAAAAGGGAGCTGAGGGGTGACTTTTTCCACACAGAGGGTGGTACATATATGAAACAAGTTACCAGAGGAAGTGGTGGAGGTGCGCACAATTACAACATTTAAGAGGCATCTGGATGGGTACGTGGATAGGGAGGGATTAAAGCAATATGGCCCAAATGCTGGCAAAGGGGACTAGGTCAGATTAGGATGTCTGGTTGGTGCGAACAAGTTGAATCGAAAGATCTATTTCAATCCAATTAACCCATTAGTTTGAAAGCTTGGCCTCAAAAACTGTTTTAATAGAAAATCACCACAGCTGCAGAAATACTGACAAGGTAATTAATAACTTTAGAAAACCCATATGTTATTAACACAAAAACTTAAGCCCCAAACTTTAAAGAAACGACATAAATAGACAATGCTAGTCATTTCCAATCTGAGTGGATTTTTCTGTATGACTATGAATCTCTGACTCTAAGAGATGGATGGTTTGTACTAAAGGCCTTCTCCATATCACCAGAAGGAAGCAAGGTACTACAATAGAACCCGAATCTCAGTACAGGGCAGACACTCACTTCACCAATAGTGACCTTGATCTAAAACTGGAGGCTATGAGGGAGAGGTGGGAAGTTTTATTCTTATCAGTCAGCAAGAGGCAGCCATCTTGACAAGCAGCAAAGGACAGCTCTTTTTATCATCATCACCTCCCTCTTATTCCAATGTCCCCTATCCCTTATCTTCTGCTCCTCCCCTGACTTTGACTTTCTAGGGCCTCCGTGTCTTTAGGATTTAGATTTATTTAATATTGTCATTTGTACCTGGGTACAGTGAAAACTGAATTACGTCACCATGTTCTGGCGCCACCTTGGATTACAGAATAAATTACTTAAATTATATTAGTGGTAAAATACTGACTAAATTAATATTAAATTAATATTACTAAAACTGAAACAGCTTCAAAAGTTTATCTTGTCTCTCCATCCGTAGGTTTCACTCTCTCTGTTCCTCCAGATGCCACTGACTGACATCATCCCTGGGGTCCGGGCAACATGTTCCTCTTCTGCCGCCATCATCGCTTCCATGTCTGCTGCCTCCGAGCTGGAAACGGTCACGCTGCACAGGTCCCACACCTCATCCGACGCCAGACGTGGACAAATTTGCAGCTCTCTGCCCACTTACAGAGAGAGTGCAACAGACCACCATAACTTCAAAGACCATTGAAAGTGTATTGGAGGCCATCACATATGATTCTAGATGGTAATATTGGACACATCATATCTCAAAGTGATACCTGGTCTGACAGCAAAATGAAAGCTTATGGCCTATTTGTTTATCAGGATGATCAGTCACTAAAACATAAATCGAGAAAAAGATGCTGCCAATGTACTTTGAGAAAAGGACAAACTTTATTACACACAAAAAGGGAAAGAAAAAACAATTTTACATTACACAAGAACTATTTGAAACCAACTAACAAATATCAGTAACAAAGGTTCAACCGTTTATCCTCAACAACCAGATTACAGATATTTAAACCTCAAAGGGTTACCTATCTTCACTTTAAAAAGTCCCTTGTTCAATTGGCATGGATGTAATTGATTTCAAGCTTTCATCTTACGGGTTTACTAAAAGCTTTTCAAAGAAATAACAGCTTTTCTATACACTTAGCTACCAGCAGTTCTCTCTTCTGGAGTTCTTTTCCAGAGTCACCTAAGACGTTTTCTCCAGTCTTCACTTTTTGGAGAACTAAACCAACAGCATCTTTTTAGGGGTTATTGATTTGTTCGCCGAGCTGGCAGGTTGGTTTGCAGACATTTCATCACCATACTAGGTAACATCATCAGTGAGCCTCCGATGAAGCGTTGTTGGTCTGTCCCACTTGTTATTTATGTAGGTAACTGATGAGGTTACTTAGTATGGTGACGAAACGTCTGCAAACCAACCTACCAGCTCGGCAAACAAATCAAACAATCTCATCCACAACCCGAGCTACAAGTCTTCTCAAAAACTTTAAGCATCTTTTTACGCTGCCTCACCTTTGATACTGGACACCCGATGCTTGGTAACAGCAGTTTTATTTTTCTCTTCTACTTTTCATTCTTAATCCATTGAACTGTTTATCACAAACTCTAATCCAAGAATATGGAACCGAATTTTAATAAATGCATTAAATCGGCAAACTTTAGACATCCCAGTGCCATACACGGAGCAATTTCTCAAATTAAATTAAAACTTCAATCCCCCTTAAAACAGTCAGAGATAGCAAGAACTGCAGATGCCAGAGTCAGAGGTAACACACCATGGAGCTGGAGGAACACAGCAGGCCAGGCAGTGTCAGAGGAGCAGGCAAGTTGATGTTTTGGGTTGGGACCCTTCTTCCAAACCCACAACAGTGGCCATCTAAAAGGAACAGGGCAGCAGGTACACAAGAACACCATCATCAGCAAGTTCATCTTTGGGCCACACACTATCCTGATTTGAAACTAGGTCATGGTTTCTTCACTGCCCCGAGTAAAAATGCTGGAAACTCTAATAGCACTGAGCGTACCTACCACTATGGACTGGAGAGGAACAAGATGACAGCTTACCATCCCCACTACCTTCTCAAGGGCGTTTCTAGATTGGCAATAATTGTTTGGCTAGCCAGTGATACCCAAATTCCATCACAATAAAAAAGAAAAAAATCTGCCTGCAAGCTTTCATCTTAGTTGGGATCGCAAGATGGTCATCGAGATTACCATAAATTCATATCATCATACACAATGACACAATTTGAGATTTAGAAGGAATTCACAAACCTACCAGGGTTTCAAGATGATTGAAATAAAGAAATTTGGTAACACTTACACAATTTACCTTTTTTTTATCCTTTATGGTTTCGTCCATTCTTCCAGTTGGAAATCTAGATGAGAAGTACACAAAATTAAATTTAATTGCAGGTATCATAGCTAAGTGAATAGCAAAGCTCTTTTCTCTAAGGTAGAGTCTTCAAAACTAGGGGGCATATTTTTAATGTGAGAGGAGACAGATTTAAAAGGGACATAGGGGCAACTTTTCAAAGAGGGTGGTTCGTGTGTGGAATGAACTGCCAGAGGAAGTGGTGCATGCAGGTACAGTTACAACATTTTAAAAAACATTTGGATAGGTACGTGGATAGGAAAGGTTTAGAGGGAAATGGGCCAAATGCAGGCAAATGGGACTAGTTTAGTTTAGTTTGGGAAACTTGGTCAGCATTGTCAAGTTGGACCGAAAGGTCTGTTCTGTGCTGTTTGATTTTATGACTATGTAACACTGCTTAAAATTAAAAAAAAGGAACCTAACATTTCAATATTCATCTATACTACATTAAAGCTGTTTTTCCACTACAGGAGGGTTCTTGCGCAAATTCTTGAAAATCATGACTTTAAGTCAGAAGACTAAGTGAAGTATCGATTCTCATAGGATTCAACACTGAAACTGGAGACAGGCTCCATAGGGCCTTCCTTAGCAAATAAAAAATAATTTAAAATTTATATCTATACCCTCTACATTAGCACCTGTGCTTCAACTGGTTTAATTCCCACACTGGCATAGGAGGGATGGAGAGGCGCAACATAAGGAGGTTGCTGAACAGACTAGTCTGGCACCCTCTGGGCATAGGTTTCTATTTTTGGGTGGGGGCGTGAATGCATGGACAAAGCTGGCAAGCCAACAGCCAGGGGTGGGGTGGGAGAACTGTTGCTGAAATCAACAGTAGCCAGTGCCATGCAGACCGAGTGCCAGTTCCATCACATCCAGCAGGGTCCTCTGGGCAGTAGAGGCTTGCAAAATCCTCTGCGGTGGGCATAGGTTGCTCCTGAGCAGTGGTCTGAAGCTTGGTATAGGTCTTAGATAGCAGTGTGGGGAGATGCCACAATTTAAATGGCTGGAAGCAACTTCATTGAGCTAAATTGGTCAGGTAACATACTGCAGTCAACAATATTCAAAAAACTGGCAACGCTCAATGAGATTTGCACCCCTAATAGCTTTGTGATGTTAAAAATGATACAACAGTATTTTGAACACAGACTCCCTGCACTGTTGGTCATCTCACTGAAATACCATGCTTTTACACTAGCTCAGCCTAACAATTCAAAAGTAAAACCTGTAATGGATTAGATCATAAACACTAATAGATTTAAAAGATTCCTCAGTTAATTAGAATTGACCATGTCACAACCATCTGGTTAAATACAAACACGTCAGCAAGTGAACCAGAATGATGCTACTTTTCAGAATGCAAGATGTCCCCTCTCCCAAAGCCAATTGTGATTTTGCTTGGTAAATAGGTACGTGTGGTCGTGATACTTTGCCCCACTTTTCTTAGCTTTGGTCACAATAACGGATTGACTCAAGGAGGATGCCCTTAGCTAAAATGTTATAGCCCATAAACAACTGATTGTTTTACTCCATGGTTGTAGCTTTCCTAATTGTGTATCTTTGTCCCATTTGACTTTCCACAATACTTACAGCATAGGAAGGGGCCACTCAGCCTAACTGACCCATGATGATATTTACAATTCAAACAAACAAAACAACCATTCTCCTATCGCTCCTTACATAACGCCAATATCTATTCCCATCTCACTTGCTTCTCTTGGGTGTGTTTGACTACGCCCAAAATGCATTAATGCTAGTTGCCTCAACAACTGCTGATGGTAGTGAGTTCTACATTGTAACCACTCTGGGTAAACAACGTTCTCCTGAATTCCCCATTAGATTTATTAACGGCTATCCTATACTTAGAGCCCATATTTATTATTATACCCAACAGGAAGTGTTTTATCCGTTTACCCTTTCAAATCCTTTCACAATCTAAGATTATAATGCCACTCTTAATGATTTTCTGTTTCCCCTCAGGAACATAACTGGGGCCTGTTCAAGGTCTCCTGGCCAGTGTTACCTCTCAGTTTTGTTAACACTAACGAATCTTCTTTGTGTCTTCTCCTGTGTGTCTATATCCCAATAGGTAGTATATCAATGTTCTATTTGTCTATGGATTTGAATAATCATCTGGCATTTATTAGAGCTCAGTTTTATTGAATATCACTTCTACTGGGTTATTTCTCGAGAATATGAATCCCCTTGTTCAAACAGGAAATTTACAACTAGTAAATCAGAAATCAGAACCATTAGAACTGTCCATATCTGTTAAATCATTTCTTTTGCGTTTTAATGATCTTATCTGGAACTGTGGTAAACAGCGCAAGTAGTGTCTCGCTATGGATTCTGCTGATAAAGGAGACAAGGAAGCATTCTCTCTCTGGAACTGCATTTCAGGATATTCTGGTTCTGACCAAGTCAATACATAACCTTGATGGCTCATCAATAGCATTTCTCAACATCAAGATATCACATGTAAATTTTCCAAAAATTTCATTATACATTAAAGGATTTATCATTTTAGAGGATTGCTTGTTGCAGTAATTATTGTCACAGCCCTATAATTAAACCACACTCCCCTAGGTTATAATGACAGGCTACCTCCTCTGGATTGGGTTCAGAGACTCTGCACCCCATCCAACTCCCATTTCTCTGAGACACCGGGGTAGATTGATCAGAAGCTCCAAGACACCAGCTTGGCAAAAGGTTTTACCCAAAATTGGCTGCCATCTCATAGAACATAACAGCGCAGCACAGGCCCTTGACGCTGCGCCGACCTGTGAAACCAATCCGAAGCCCATCTAACCTACACTATTCCGTTATCATCCATATGTTTATCCATTGACCATTTAAATGCTCTTGAAGTTGGCAAGTCTACTACTGTTGCAGGCAGGGCATTCCACACCTTTACTACTCTCTGAGTAAAGAACCTACCTCTGACATCTGTCCTATATCCATCACCCCTCAATTTAAAGCTATGTCCCCTCGTGCTAGCCATCACCATCCGAGGAAAAAGGCTCTCACTGTCCACCCTATCTAATCCTCTGATAATCTTATATGTCTCTATTAAGTCACCTCTTAACCTTCTTCTCTCTAACGAAAACAGCCTCAAGTCTCTCAGCCTTTCCTCATGACCTTCCCTCCAGACCAGGCAACATCCTGGCAAATCTCCTCTGCATCCTTTCCAATGCTTCCACATCCTTCCTATAATGCAGCGACCAGAACTGTACGCAATACTCCAAGTGCGGCTGCACCAGTTTTGTACAGCTGCAACATGACCTCATGGCTCCGAAACTCAATCCCTCTACCAACAAAACCTAACACACCATACGCCTTCTTAACAACCCTATCAACCTGGGTGGCAACTTTCAGTGATCGATGCACAGGGACACCGAGATCTCTCTGCTCATCCACACTACCAAGAATCTTACCATTAGCCCAGTACTCTGTATTCCTGTTTCTCCTTCCAAAGTGAATCACCTCACACTTTTCCACATTAAACTCCATTTGCCACCTCTCAGCCCAGCTCTGCAGCTTATCTATGTCCCTCTGTAACCTGCAACATCCTTCCGCACTGTCCACAACTCCACCGACTTTAGTGTCATCCGCAAATTTACTAACCCATCCTTCTACGCCCTCATCCAGGTCATTTATAAAAATGACAAACAGCAGTGGCCCCAAAACAGATCCTTGCGGTACACCACTAGTAACTGAACTCCAGGATGAACATTTCCCATCAACCACCACCCTCTGTCTTCTTACAGTTAGCCAATTTCTGATCCAAACTGCTAAATCATCCTCAATCCCATGCCTCAGTATTTTCTGCAATAGCCTACCGTGGAGAACCTTAAAATGCTTTACTGAAATCCATATACACCACATCAACCGCTTTACCCTCATCCACCGGTTTGGTCACCTTCTCAAAGAACTCAATAAGGTTTGTGAGGTACGACCTACCCTTCACAAAACCGTGTTGAGTATCCCTAATCAAATTATTCCTTTCTCGATGCTTATAAATCCTATCTCTTTATAATCCTTTCCAACACTTTACCCACAACCGAAGTAAGGCTCACTGGTCTATAATTACCAGGGTTGTCTCTACTCCCCTTCTTGAACAAGGGGACAACATTTGCTAGTCTCCAGTCTTCTGGCACTATCCCTGAAGACAATGACGACAAAGATCAAAGCCAAAGGCTCTGCAATCTTCTCCCTAACTTCCCAGAGAATCCTAGTAGAAGACTAAAACATTATTTTCATCAACACAGAAGAATAAGGGGCTGGATTAATGAATATTCATCTTCATTATTTGGAAATAATTCAACTTCCAAATATAAATGAAAAGAAAATAAATTAAGTGGTGTTAACCACAAAACATGGTTCAGTTTCCTCTCGATTTTCTTTATTATCCTGTGGGTCGTAGACACACTCAGTACTGTGACACTGAGCCATGACCAGCTTGATCCTTAATTCACAGAATATTAGTTGATTAAGGGCACTACAATTGGAATGCAAGTAAAAATAGCTGGGAAATGATGAACACAAAGTAAAACGGTTAGCTCAGTTGGCTGGATGGCTGATTAGTGATGCAGGTGACGCCAACAGCATGGATTTGATTCCTGCATTGGCTGAGATTACCATGAAGGACTCTCCTTCTCAATCTCTCCTCTTGCTTGAGGTGTTGTGACCCTTAGGTTAAACCACTACTGGTTGTCTCTCTTTAATGACTATGGTAACTTTATCCTTTATATCAAGTCAATTCATAACAGCAATATCAAATAAAAATCTGATACTTAGCCACATAGCAAGCCACTAGGAGAGGTGACAAATGAAGAAGTTGGGTCAAAGGGATAAATTTAGCATGTTAAGGGAGAAGAGCAATAGGGAAGTGGAGAGGTGTGGGAGGGAATTGCAGAGTGTAAAGTCAAATTGTAAGAGGTCATAAAAGGATGAGATCAGACACTCAGAAGGCTTGTAGCAGTGGACAGAGTAACAGACAAGAAA